TGAGATCTCCTGATCGCAGAGGCCAGCCTCTCCCTGCCGTGTGGACAGGATTCCAGCCCAGTACGCAGGACCCGTGGGTGTCTGTGTTAGTACAGCCGGCTCGGCCGAGCAGGACGCCAGCGCCTGGCCTCCCCTCGTTAATAATTCCCTCTTGTTGACCGGCGGCTGTCCTCCTGTTAACTCCCCACGCGTTCCCGTGTCCCTGCCTCGCGTGTTTGGACCACACACTCCATGCGATCAGTGCATCGGCCCTGGTTCTCCCAGAGACCCTGGCCTCTCTCCCCGGCGCTCCCTTCTCTGCGCCCAGATCCCATCCTGGAACGGTCCTGGAGCTCCCCACCTTCCTGAGGCTACGAGGTAGCCTCACGGGAAGCAGATCTTTGTCCCTGGGGCGGGTAACCTGCTGAGCTCAGAGTCCCGTGGGAGATTATTTTCTTCCAGAATCCGGAGGCCTCCTTTCTTGTCCGGTGCTCTGCTCCTGGGAAAACACCAGACACGCTCCGACGCTGGCTCCCTGGACGATCACAGCCTGGGGCGTCCCCTGCCCTGTGGAGGTGTGGCTCCCACTTTCTGGTGGGGGGTGACAGGGAGCACCAGCACTCGTGGGGAAAGGTCCACATGCACTCCCCGAGCCACAGACATGTGCCTCCTTCCAGCCCCTTCCTTGGGCCTCGCAGGTCTGGGCGCATCCTGGTGATCTCTCGTGCAAACTTTCCCCCGCCTGTTTTCTCCAGCCCCTCTTTCTGGGACGGCCCGGATCCCGCACTCCAACCTCTGGCATTGTCTCCACGCTGCGGCCTCTTCTGTCCTGGGTTTTCATTCTCTGCCCACGCCGTGGGAGATTCCAACTCTTCCAGAAACCAGCACTGTTGTTTGCACGTCCTGCAAAGAGCCGTCCAGAGCGCCCTGTCCCCGCGGCGTGCTACGGCTTCTGTCGACGCTGAAAAGGTCGCTTGTGGTTCCTTTCTGCTCCCTGGCCGTCCCTGTATGGGCCTCCGTCGCCAGCTCGAAGGCAGCAGGCCCTCCCGGTCCCTCTTGGCTGTCTGCTTCGACTTTAGCAGGGAAGACGGCGCCGCGCAGGGAGTGCTGCTGCCCCCATGCTCCTTGGGGACCCCCGCCCCCCGCGTCCCCACCCGCCGCCTCTCCTCTGGCTGGTCGGCTCTGCAGAGCGGCTCTCCCCAGGTTCTCACTGGCTGCTGGCCTTGGCCTGGTGTCCGGGGGCCAGTGCAAGGGAGGGGCCGAGGGCACGGACTCGGGCAAATGCCAGCCACACTGTCCGGGCAACGGAGCTCCCGAGAGGGAGGCCAGCTGCCTTGCGGCGACCATGGGGTCACAGGGGCGGGTCTGCTCCCCGGCACAGCTCCTCCAGAGACACCCGGGGCCCTGAGGGCTGCGTGCTGCGTGTCCGTCTTCCCGAGGGGTCTGTGGGTCCTTCAGGCCCAGGGACGATTTCGGTTCACATCTGCACACGCGGCTGGGCTCGACGGTGAGAAGCGAGCTCTTGGCTGTGGTGGTGCGAGCTCCGCCCTGCTGCCCTCGCCCCGGTGCCGCATCCTCCCGGGGGGCCCTGGGGTCCGTGCCCAGAACCCACCCACACGGGTACTTAGCTTCGAGCCGGCAGAAGCCACCAGGGCGCATCACAGGGGCTTCCACACCCATCCACACCACCTTTTAGGTGACTTTCAGGGGACTTCCTGCTGTCTCCGCACCGGGTGGGCGGGGGAGGGTGGTGACCTGTTGAGTCCTTGGAATCCATGGCATTTAACTCTCTTTTTGCACTCCGCAGCCGGCCCGGTGTCCGAGGCACAGGTGCAGGGACAGGTGAGGGGCACCTGTGACTTGGGAGGGAGGAGGGGCAGCAGGCGGGGTCAGGGAGGACCAAGTGGCCGGGTCAGCGGGGCCTCAGCGGCACTTGGTGCCGGGGGTCCTTGCAGCCCGGCGCCCGGCTCCTGCGTTCTTCTCACCAGACGGGCTCCCCGGACTCCGTGGGCTCAGCGCCCGCCCTCCCGCTGCCTGACAGAGGAGATCAGTCCGCCTGGCCCTGTGGCCCTGTCCACAGCTGCTCCCACAGCCACTGGGACCGCTCCGTCCGTGGGGCCTCTCTGTCCCTTCTGCCCTGCCTCCAGGTCCGGCTGACCCCACCCTGCCCGGTGGGGCCTGGCCTCCCGAGCACCAGACCCTGGTCTTTG